ATGACCAACACCTTGAATTGGACCCGGAAACAAACTGGCAACCAACGCAGCTCACGCAACAGGGGTGTTATACGTGCCCTCCTAGGGGCATTCAGAACTGTCTGCACCACCGCATTCTGCACCAGCTGTAGCTTCCGGATAGTCTTCAAGGGTAGCCCCATATAGAGCGCATTACAGTAGTCCAACTCGGAGGTGACCAGGGCATGAGTGACCATGCAGAGGCCCTCCTGATCCAGGAAGGGGCGTAACTGTCACACAACACAAAGTCGTGCAAAGGCCCTCCTAGCCACAACTGCCACCTGCTCTTCATGTCTATGCATGTCCAAGAGAGAATATGTACGTGTCATAGGTTCATACCCTTTTCAGTCCCAGCTTTGATCTACTGAGCACCAGGCCCTTGTGAGGTATCCCGCTTCACTGGGGTCCTTGACTGTATGGTGAGTCCTACAGGCACTTAAGCAAATAGGAACAGACAGACACACACACCCGCCCCGTCCCCCCCCAACGTTCAGGTTTTGGTATTCAACATGGCCTGGGCCAAGGCTGAGTAGAGGACTACCGAGACAAGAGTAGTTCTGGGCCCCACACTCTAAGAGCCTCCTCCCCTGTTAATCTCAGCTCCCTTCAACATCCCAACGAAATGAATGACATCTTTCTCGCATTGCATTAGGTAACTGACATGATAGGGATTATTTGGTTCACATGTAATGTTAAACTGGAATTTTAAACCATGGTTTGTTGAACAAGCCCATAGTGGCCTGGTTTACATATAACCCTAAATTATAATGAATATGGGGCTGCAAGTTTTGCTAAGCCAGAACCAAACCATATTGTGGCTTTGCATTATGCGTGAACCAGCTGTGTCTGAATTCTTCATTGGCCAAGGTTGAGTAGAGGATTCCTGAGAGAAGACTAGTTCTGGGGCCCACACTTTAAGAAAGGTTTAGAGAAAGTGGGATGGGTCCAGAGAAGGGCGACAAAGGTGATCAAGGGGCTTGGAACAAACTCCTTCAAGGAGATAAGAAGTGGGTATGATGATGGGGGTGGGGGTGGCGGGGGGAGAGAGAGGGTTCCAAATGCTTGAAGATGTGCCACCCAGAAGGTCAAAACCCACCCCCTCTTGTCACAGAAAGAAAAACACAGAATTGGGGTCTTAAGGAAAGCAGATGCTAGATTAACATTAGGCAAAGATTCTTCCAGGTAAGAGCCGTTTGGCACAAGCTGTTGCCAAGGAAAATTTGAGCCTCCTTGATTGAGGGTGTCCAAGCAAAGGACAGGCATTTGATGGGGGGACCTAAAGGGCCCTTCCAAGTCTGTCGTCCTGTTCGAGCTAGGCCTCACACTGGCCGTTCATGCGTTATTTTTGAGACTGGGAGTTATTTCTAAAAGTGGCTTATTGCATCCTTCCCGATGGTGAGCATGGGCCATGCTGGCTGGGAATTATAGGAGCTGAAGTCCCACTCACCTGCAAGGCGCTGCATTTGGGATAGTCTATGTTCAACTGATCCTGAGTAACCGCCTGGATGCAGCCTGTCTAATCACTCAGCCTGTCTAATCAAGAGAAGCAGCAGCATTGGTAATACTGATGAGTCAAGCTTAGTTGCCCATGCAAATCACTGCTTCCTTCTATGCTGAAACATTTTAGTGAATTGCTGTATGTTTCAGCATA